GTATGTGTTTATGTGCAATTATGCTATTATTTCTTCTGAACAGTACAATCAATGTCAAAACTTTGAAGACCACAATCGAAACAATAAGCAACAATATGCAGGGGTTTCACTCGGGTCTTACATCCCAGAAGACAGAACACTCCCGTAGCCACATCTATGAGGATATCAAACACAACAAGATATTTCCTGTTCTCAGGAAACCTTAAAGTTTCTTATCCAATGTACACCGGAGTCTCTTTCTCCAATGGAAAATTAGCCTGGACGTGAAGGTGACCAGCTCCATCTAGTTGTAGAGGTCAAGAATGATGAAGCTATACCTCCATTCCCCATACGTCTTCATGGAGTGATGCTTAATAAGTTAAGCAAAGGGACAAATGTACTTTACTTGATATACAAACTCCCATCGCGGCGGCCCGAGTTCGATCCCGGTTCTGGTCAAATGGGATTTGTGGTGGACAAAGTGGCGCTGGGGCAGGTTTTCTCCGAGTACTTCGGCTTCCCCTGCCAATCTTCATTCCACCAATTGCTCCACAATCACCCTCACCTATCATCTGGGGCTGGTACAATAGGCCAGAAGGGGCCGCAGTAGAAGGGACTCAGTCCCACCTCACTAGCAATATTAAAAAAAGTAATGTACACGCACGCAAACACACACACATGTACGTATACTGACTATTCATAATATTCGCGGGCTTGTTACTCTTCCACTTAAAGCTACGAACAAACAGATTCTGTGCTAAACTCTCACTTTTGTCGCATGAGCAATCACATTCCGTTTGACAACTGCATGAATAGGATATATAGCACAGAACACAGGATGCGAACAAAACACTTTGTTTGAATAGACAGCTTTGGTTTAAATTAATCTCGAAATATTTAACTCGTGCCATTGTAACAAAGCTGTAACATATTTTTATCTGTACGCCACTAGTGATATTGTAAAGAACAAATAAGTGGACAGCAGAACATCAACAAAAAAGCATTACAAACTGTTCTTTTATTTTGGGGTTTTATAAAAGGTAAACCAATATATATTGTCACTTGTTGCAGTGACTAAGACGCGGGTTTGGATTGGTAATTGGATTTATTGGATACTTATAGGTCATAACTACAAATAATTATAACACTCTTGCTCATTTACACAATTTACAATTACTCCACACAAATATTCTCAGTCTACCTGCACTAGTCCTCACGGATTTATAAGACAGGAACTATAGAAGTCTCACTGAATCACAATATCCTAATATCACTGTGCTACAGCACACATAAAGTCTTCAAATCACACGTTAAATCTTCAGAGGCTGACTTCTTATACTCTTCTTCAACTACGAAATTTCCGTGGCTATTTTCAACCGAGAACTGACTCGTCGTCTTTGAACCGAACGAATTATTTCACTTATATAGTCGAGGAACGGACATGCATCATAGGAAACACGTGTCACGTGACCACCATCCACCGCTGCGTGACGTCACTGCGGACACGGAAAAAAACAGCCTCCTCTATAGTGTGTCGGACCGTGTTTACAGAGCTGGCAACGCATTGATCCAATTCGTTAAGGTGTTAAACAAAAAGCAGACGATCTCTGCGCTTTAAAAGTACTCGTAGAATAGGCTAAGTTAGTTCTCCTGAAAGTCAGACAGACCTTAGATTTATTGACAGAAAATATCTTGGAGTAATAACATTACCACAAGCATATTCTGTAGCCTTGGATAGTCGGTTTTACTACGTCGCATTTAGCCCTAGCCAGTTCTGTGAAATGCAGGGTGGGATGGAACTGAGCCCCTTTCCATTACACCGTCTAATGGGACTCTTGTGTCAGTCGCAATAAAAAGGTGAGTAAGTGTGTGAGAGAAAGGAAAAATTCTCAAAACAGAAGTTCTGAGTAGAACTTATAAAACCTGCTTCTCAATTCGATGTTCCCTGTCCTCTACGTATTATGCTGTTCATTTCTTATTTGGGTAATGCAAATTCGTAATTCAAAAATAGATATAATTTTGGTGAAAAATACCGTCCAGGACTCGTGTGCTGGTAGTCGTAGGATTGAACCATAATGCAGTTAAATTACTTTACTCTTTACGACTCTAAATAAGCCATTTTTCCATTTTTTATCTTTACTGTTTCAGTATTATTAATTACAATTACTGTAAATGTATATATTTTATTTTTCTCACAATTTAGTTATAGCTTTGATGTGCGGTAATGGAATAATTATTATCATTACCAAATTATATAAATTGTTTTTTGTACTTTGTTTTGTGTGCTCTGTATTTTTTCTTTACTTTTGCTCGCTTTGTAATTGGCCTTTGGGCTGTTAAATTTACACGTAAATAAATAAATAAGAACTGAAATGAAATACAAGATGTCTACAAAAGGTCTGACACATTTTGATCTTTAATAATTCGGAAAAGAACAAAGATATAAATAAACTGGTTACAATGTTGGATTGAGAAACTCAAAAAGTTTTGTGTCTATTGTTAATAAAGTTGTACATGTGCTCCATTTGTTGTACATAAAATATCCAGACGATATTCGATTTCTTGCCACGTTCGGGCAAGCATACCGGCATCCACAGTGGTTATTGCGTCTCTTACTCTGGTTTTTAATAGATCGATGTCTCTCACCTGCGTCTTATAAAAAATGTCTTTGATATATCCCCAGAGGAAAAAGTCCAGTGGGGTTATGTCAGGTGATCTTGGGGGCCAAGAAATTGGAGCACCTCCTCCAATCCATCTTCCTGGAACATGTCTGTCCAAAGCATCACGAACTATAGTGCTCAAATGAGGTGGCGCACCGTCTTGTTGGAAAATGATTTCGGGCTGAAGCGCTTCAATTTGCGGGAATACAAATTTCTGCAACATGTCTAGGTAAATGACTGATGTGACTGTCTTTTCCGCGAAAAAGAAAGACCCAATGACTCGATCATGCATAAGAGCACACTACACATTCACTTTTTGGGAGTCTCTTGCCATTTCACGGTATTCATGAGGGCTCTCTGATCTCCAAATGCGTACGTTATGGCGATTGAATGTTCTAGAAATGTGGAAGCAAGCTTCAACAGAGAACAATATGGTTGTAATTAATCTTTCATGAACCTCTATTCTTCGTAACATATCTGTTGCAAAATCCGTTCTCGTACTCTTACCAGAGTAAGAGACGCAATAACCACTGTGGATGTAGGTATGCTTGCCCGAACCTGGCAAGAAATCGAATATCGTCTCGATATTTTACGTGCAACAAATGGAGCATATGTACAACTTTATTAACAATAGACACAAAACTTGTTGAGTTTCTCAATCCAACAATGTAACCAGTTTATTTCTATCTTCATTATTTTCCAAATTATTAAAGATCAAAATGTGTCAGACCTTTTGTAGACACCCTGTATTATTGTCATTATTTTATTTTCATAAAAAACTTCTTATTAAAATACAGGCTTATTATACGTTGCATTTTTCGATGTAACAGAAATATCGTTATTTTGTCATGTTTGTAACAGATAAACTATACCGTCACGTGATTGAGTATGACAATATACGGGGTTTGGATTGATAATTGGATTTACTGAACACTTCCAGACCGTAAACACAAGTAATTATAACGCTCTCGCTAACTCATGCACTCATCTTCTCAGTACAGTCCATACTAAGTCTTCTCAATTTGTTTTCGCTAGCCGTTTACTGGCAACGTATCATAACAATGTTTTCTGCTTACGTCCTTACTGACTGGCGAATGTCCCAAAACTGACTCATTGCTTCAACTGACTAACTCACAGTCTGGCGGCCATCTCACACCAGCTTTCTACCCTTCTATTCACTGGTGGACTGCAGCTCTCAGCTTGTCTCGCTTATAACATCTCAGCACGGACCGTACAGAAAGTATCTTCCTCAATACTGTAGTTCAATCGTTTCCATGGGAAAATGTTTATTTCCGAAGCCGTTACTTAGTAACGGCTCTTGTGTATTTGCTTATCTGACGGTCGTTGCCCAGCAATGGGTCTACATGCTACAATACATACAAATTCGTACAGAATTTGTAGTTATTTTTATAATCCATCTCCGTAACAAATTTTATATTATTACGTATTTAGGGGTGTGTGATTATACATGGGGTATGGATTGCGTACTGGATTTAATGACCACTCCTCTATACCACTCGGAGTTACACTTCACAGATCACTGACACACACAGACCAGTGTTCTTAGTCTGTTAGTCTCCACTAGCCGCTTCCTGGCAAAGGGTTTAACACAGTGGAGATTCTTCAGCCTCCACCGCTCAGGTTCTCTTGCCACAGCCAACACTGCAGAACTCTTGTCAACTGACAACTCAAGTAACTGGGTCGCAGGCTGGCGGCCATTTCACACCAACCTCCTAGCCTTCTCTTCACAGGCTGACTTTCAGCTGAACTGACAACTGAACTATCTGACACAACAACCAGCTACAGCACGTCACTTCATTCAACAGAACTGCAGACAATTGACTGCAGCTCGGCCGGCGTCTTCGTTGTATAATCTCGGGACGAGCCCAACAGAAAACAGCGCCTCCAACAATCTTTGTATTGTTCTCATGATTGTTACCTAGCGATAGACTGGAAAACATTTTCCGCAAGAGCGTGTTTACCGACTGTTACCAAGCAACGCATAATTATTCTCTTACTTATCGCCATTAAACATGAAATTGAATGCATATTTAGCCCAACCACCCTGCCGTTAATTTATATTATTAAAGAATGGCATTAACAAATCTTCCTTGCTCAAAACAACACGAAGTTTTAGGGCCCTTCAAAAAAAGAACTCAACAGTCCATAAGGCTGCTATATTTTTATTTTCTGTGGTAGAGCAATACTCTTAAATAAGAAGGTGAACTGAACTTCAGTGGTAGGAGGTTCATGACATTGTGACTGCACACGCATGCATGATGACAACACAAGCTCTCTTTATAGAAGTGAGAAAAGTAGGAATAAACTTGTACTGAATGCCGTATCCTTGAGACCACTCACCCATCCATGCGTAAGCAGAACAAATTCTCAGTAGAGTGTTCCCTTGGGAACTGAATGAAGGTTCTGCGACAACGTACCAACTGTCTCGAAACGCGAACCGCTGGGCGAGGGTATGCCTTTTAAGTTCGCCATGGCGCAGGTCAGCACTTCATAGAACTGCAAATACAAGACCAAGATACTAGTAATTATTTCCAAGCTACTAACGAGATACATCGTTTTAAAAACGATGTTTTTTTCCCTGTAATCTTTGATATTATCAGTGAAAATAAACCACCCATTCATCTCGTGAAGTTTTGAGTTGACCAGATGCAACATACCGCTAAGTTAATTTGTCACTTACCTACAAAATGTAAAACAAACAACTACCCAAAGACCGCATGATTGATACAAGGGTTGACATTGGCATTGCCTTCCCTGTATCATGACGGTGGTTGAAGGCTGGCCTGGACTTTCCCTCATGTCTTCTAAAGATCCACCTCCTTCACAGTGGAAGCCGGGATATCTCAGTCGGTACAGCGACTGACTACGGGTTGGACGACCGAGAGGTCGGAGTTCGGTTCGCGCTAGGATATTTTCTCTTTTCACGACGTCCAAACGGGCTTTGGGGCCCACCTAGCCTCCTACCCAATGGATATCGGGGGCTCTTTCCCCGCGGATAAAGAAGCTTGGGCGTGAAGCTGACCACTCATCTCCAAGTAGTGCCGAGGTCAAGACAGTGTGGCTCAATACATCCACTCCCCCATACGCCTTCATGGCACAGTTCTTAATTAGTTAAGCACAGGAACACCTTTACCTTTTACCTTCTTGCTTCCTTTACAGGAACACAGTTTTTCCACCGCCCTAGGAAGTTGCTGATGCCACTAGCATTAAGGGATGCATCCCGGCTCTGTAGTCAGTTCAGGACACCGGTTCGAGTTCGTTGTCAGCTTCAAATTTCTCTCCTTCGCGGCCCAAACAAGCGGGAATCACTGGGGGCTAAGTCAGGGCTGTGAGCAGAGTCCATGCTGAAGTTCTTCACATTAAAGTAGGAATTGGTTTTTATCTGAATGTTCAGTACGTTGTAATTTCCTCAATACACGGCGCTAAGAATACTGGGAACGTTTTTAACAAGGATATGTAAACTCCTCGTTATGTAATTGCACGCATTTCTCCAATAAACAGTTACATTTGTCCTACGTCCCCTATCTGACCTCGCCCTTAGTTTTATAAAACTTAAAATTTATGTTCATGTTAACCAACTAACTAACTTACGTCATGGAACTGAGCCCTTCGTGAGGAACCACCAGATTTGCAGCTACTCAAGTACTTCCCAGAATTTTACGGTACCCGAAGTTTCATTATCGTGTTCAAAATAGCCCTCTACTGGTCCCTACCCTGAGCCAGATCAATCCAGTCCACACAACCCTATACTGTCTATGATACATTTTAATATTATCCAACCAGCTATGTCTTCGTCGTCCTAGTGGTCTCTTTCATTCCGAATTTCCCACCAATATGCTATATGTATTCCTCTTCTCCCCTATTCGTGTTACATGCCCTGCCCATCTCATCCTCTTTGACTTCATCATGAGGTAAAAATGGAAAATATATCTGTTGTGTTAAATTACAGCTATAAATTCTTATAGGAAAGTATACTAAGCGCACTGAAGAAAATTTTAATTAAAATGTGACCACAAAAACAAGTTTTGATCCTGAACTTAATGATTATATCTCAAAGAAATTTCATGTTGTTGCGTATAGAATTCATGAACGAGTCGGAACCTCGGTAAAGTAAAGGTAAAGCTATCCCTGTGCCAGGCCGCGAAGGCCCATAGGGTTGTGAGACGTTGAGGGTCCCACATTATCTAGACAATCGGCTCAAAGATGGAGGTAAGGTTGTCAGCCTTACGCGCCTGCCGCGCTTTATTCCCCAGGAAAATTATTTAATTAATTCCTGGTACTCATTTCTGTTAGAGGCTGGGTCGACCCCAGGGTCATAGTGCGGCTGGAAGGATTAGGTCAATTGAAACAAATCCAATGACCTCATCGGGACGTGAACCCGCGACCTCCCGGCTTGTAGCATAGCGACTCAACCAAGTACGCTACCGCGTGCCTCGGTATGTAAGTTATCTTTTGTTCATGAAGTGTTGTTAGTTCCATGCTTTTAATTGCAAATTTTGTTAAGATGAATTAGAAACAGCCAGTACTCAACGCAGAAGCAAAAAATATAACAATACTGTGCATTGTTAGCTCTGACATATTTTCACCGACAACGCCATCAATATTGTCATTAATAACGCGCTTGTCATAGAGGAATATTCTACAGGATACATAACATTCCTGATTGAGATTCGATGTCATGAAATTTAGGCCCCTTGATTAATAAGCTTTAAAGTATAGCATAACTAAACAACTCCATGGAGCTGAGCCTTTCTTGAGAAGCCACCAGTTGTGTAGCTATTTAAGAATTTCCCAACATTTTATGGAACCCGAAGATTCATTACCGTGTTCACAAGAGCCCTCCACTATTCCCTATTTTGGGCCAGTTCAATCCAGTCCATGTCATCCGATCCTGTATCTCTAAGATCCATTTTAATATTTATCCACCTACGCCTTGGTCTCCCCAGTGGTCATTTTCCTTCTGGCTTACCTACCAATATCCTATATTCATTCCTCTTTTCCCTCATTTTATTTGAAATCGACAAACTACTTTTGATCAGCGCTATAGGCTAATAATAAAAAGGAAAAATAAAGGTAAAGAAATCATTGAAACGGGCCGCGGAGGCCCATAGGGTTGCGGGACGTCGAGGCTCCCATATCTTCTAGACAATCAGGTCACAGATGGCGGCTGGCCTTTACACCCAAGAAGATTCCTCGTACTCATTTATGTTAGAGGCTGAGTCGACCCCTGGCGCATAGTGCGGCTGGAAGGATTGGGTCAATTGAAAATTAGAGGCCTAGTTAGTTAGTTATTGGAGAGGGTGGCTTTCCCCATGCACTGAGACCTGTATTGGTCCATTGTGCTTCCCTCTATGATTTCTACCAGTCTCTATACCCTACCGGTACTGGTACCGACATTGGTCTCTCCCAGCCAGCGAGACCGGCTCTACTAGCTGAGAGGTATCTATAATGCTTCCCCCATTTATCAGAGGTATTAGAGACTGCTGTTGGGCGGGAAACGTCCGTTAATTTGGCTCAGTGACCTCCTTTGGAGATATGAGGTTCTTTTACGTGCCGTAAAGCTACGACACGGGACCCACGGCTTAAAGTCCCTCCCGGAAGACTTGTTCCCTGAATTTTTCCGCCCTTAAAAATTCGACGACCTCCGCCGGGTATTTGAACCCGCGTACTACGAGTCATGAGGTGGGAACGTTACCTCTAGACTACGGAGGCCGCTAAATTAGAGGCCTATATTAACTGGGAATAGAAAGTATTCAAAAGTATACAAATCCAAAGGGTTCCTTTTAAATGCCAAATATGCCTTACATTTTCCGCTATTCCTTTCTGATGTTGTGTCTCTTCCTTAGTCTTCCTGTACTTCTGTAATTTGACGGGGACGGTCCCTTGAGGAAATCTATAATCTTCCATTTACCGTGCAACCACTTTTTCATAGTCACGAATCCGTTCTTCTATGGAAGGCATACTAATGTTCTATATTGATCGTGCGATGAGAAAAGGAGAACTAGGGAACATTTCTTCTTCATGTTCAGGAGTTTTAAAGTTCGAATCTCGAAGAGTAGACCTGAGATCCAAAGAGTTCTCTGGTTGTCCTCAACTCCTCCAATCAAACAACGGAATTTTCCTGCTGGTTCCTTCCAAACGCTTTCCTACTTCTAACAGTCACTCTCCCATTGGAAGTTATGCTACATAATCCCTTCAGTTGGTTGTGTGTAGTTAAATAACCACAGAATAACCTAACAAAGTATTTCATTATATTATGCGAAATATAATGTTTTAAATACTCATGAGCTTTCCGACTAGGGGCTTGTATAGAATTTCCACTTCTACGGGTGTGACCCGAAGATTCTGGTCTGAAATGTGTTATCCTTGGGATCATCATCAGTAATCTGTGAGACGACAGGTCCAGAGTCTCTTCCAAAACAGTTCCTCCACTTAATGCGATCTTGAGCTTTCTCCTTCAAATGACAGTATCCTCTTCTGTCCCCAAGGTCATCCAGAATCTTCTTACTTCTTCTTCCTCGTCTTATTGTCACTTCTATCCGCCCCTCTATCTTCCCTTTAATAATTTCCTTTAGAAGCTTACTTCTGCGTAAAACATGACCAATCCACTTAGCCTTCCGTTTTCTTATTTCGTGTAAGATATTCCTCTGCTCACTGACTCTAATTAACACTTCTTCATTTCTCACATAATCGGTCCAACTGATCTTCTCCATCCTTCTCCAACACCACATTTCGAAACTTTCCAGATGTTTCCGATCTACTGCCATAAGTGTCCATGTTTCAGCATTTCACTAGTTTCTTCCTCAATTTTAAGTCCAATTTGCTGGTAAAAAGATTCTTCTTCTTGCTAAATGCAGCTTTTGCCATGGCAATCCTAGATTTAATTTCACTAGTAAACCTTGCATCATCTGTTAACAAGCTACCGAAATATTTAAAACATTTCACATTCTCCAGTTGTTTTTGGTCTGTCTTTATTGTGACTGGGGTTAGTTGTCTCGAAATTTTCATTACTTTTGTTTTTTCCATATTCATTTCCATGCCATAGCACCTTCCAATTTCGATCAGTCTTTGGGATACGGGATAATAAATGTTCCTCCGGCTCAACTCATTAAATAAGAAAGGCGACTCCTTTCCAACTGCCTCTTTTCTTCACAGGTTCCAATAGAGAAATGATTTGGTCGCCCCGGTCCTCTTCCTTTTAACTCCTCGGCACGTACCACTGCAGAAATCACAGCTCTTCTATTTTTGTTGTTCAGCTGTTGCTGCAAAGGTGTAATTACCGCGCCGTTGCGTAGCATCGGTCGCGGCGCGGACCACAAAATAAAATACCACTTCCAATAGTTCTCTTGTTGTTGCATATTGATTCGTTGCCGCGGGAAACTGTTTGCGATCGCTACCTAGTAACGGGTCTACAAACTACTATATATGTTATTTTGGTCAGGAAAACCGCTCAGAGGCACAGGTATATGTGGAAAGAAAACATTATAAAGGAACAT